AAATTTTACTAATTTGCATACTGACTGGTTGGTTTAGTTTGTTGATAACCATATATACATACATATATATCTAGGTATGTATGTAGACATATGTGTATATATATTCCCTCAAAATCCTCATTTATAAAAAAATTTAGAAAAAACACTATCATAAAGCTAAACTATTTAAAGGATGGATTTATGAACTAAACATTCAACTAATGGCATTATATAGTTGGTATAAAAGCTACTCACTTTTTGTGTCCAGATGATAGAAGTTAAGAGTCTTGCCGTGCATTGTAATATGAGTAAATAGATCACAAAGAAGTTGGCTGAAAAACAGTCCATTAAAATGACAGCTTCCATAATAATGCAAATATAATTAACACTACTAAGCTGTGTGTTCAGAAATGATTAAGATGGTGGGGGCACCTGGATGGCTCAGTCAGTTAAGCATCTGCTTTTGGCTCAGGTCATGATCCCAGGGTCCTGGGATTGAGCTCACACTGGGCTCCCTGCTCAGTGGGGAACCTGCTCCCCTCGCTCTCTCTGCTCCTCTCCCTGCTTGTGCTCTCTCAAATAAAGAAAGAAAGAAAGAAAGAAAGAAAGAAAGAAAGAAAGTCTTTTAAAAAATAGAAAAACAATTAAGATGGTCAATTTTGTTTTATGACAGTAAAAAAAACACAATGACTGAAATAATATATCAGTTTAAAATGAATATTTCTAATCATAATTTCACCACTTTCCAGTCTTATTTTTTAATATCTAAGTATCTTTGATAAAAGTTTTCTTCACCTTCCCTCTACCCTGAAGCTTTCCATATTAAGAAACAACACAGAACAGCAAAAAAATTTAAGACAGAAGAATAATTTGAAACAGTATTTTCACATGGAATATGAAATATCTTAGGCATTATTATATTACTGTAGGTAGACACAAATAATTAATGCTGTTCTTGCAAATTGTAGTTTCAAAGAGTAAATCATGCCTCGCTGGATGGTCATTTGTAAACAAGTACAAGCAATTATAGTGCTCTTCCCTCATTTTGACCAATCTTTGCTTGTAAATAATGACACAATGAAAAAAGAGAAATATTAATTTTCTACTGTTCCTTGTCTCAAGCTGTTTCTCTTTGATTCATAGAATGTAAAGAAGAGGATAAAAAGTTAGCAAATATGTCCAAAAACATCCAAAAAGATGCTGTTTCTTTTTTTTTTTAAGATTTTATTTGTTTATTTGACAGACAGAGATCACAAATAGGCAGAGAGCCAGGCAGAGAGAGAGGGGGAGAAGCAGGCCCCCTGCTGAGCACAGAGCCCGATGAGGGGCTCGATCCCAGGACCCCAGGATCATGACACCAGCCGAAGGCAGAGGCTTTAACTCACTGAGCCACCCAGGTGCCCCAAGATGCTAAGTTTCTAATTATGAAAGAAAACAACATAGCCTCATTAAAGGAAGCAAACAGTGTATAATTTTTTAAATGCCTCATTATTCTCTTCTCCAAACTCCCCCTTCTAGAGGCAGTCACTGTTAAAGTTGTTAGGTATGCTTTTAGATGTTTTCTATGTTTATATCAAAACACATTTTTTTACATGAATAACATAACATTGTAAGGTTGTATAACTTATTTTTTAACCTATTATATAGTAAACATTCTCCCAAATCAGTACATATTAACCAAACCCTTCTGATGAATGTTTAGGTTATTTCCAATTTTTCAGTAAAACTAATGCTGCATTGAACATCTTTGTTCATATATCTTTGCATTCTTAGGCAGTTTTGTAGGATAAATGCTTGTAAGTGGAACTGCTACCTCAAAAGATATACAAGTTTTAAAAACATACAAATTTAAAAATATGTTAAATTTATTAAAATCGTTAAATTACTTCTCAAAAAGTACTAGTTTGTATTTCTATGGGTACTGTATGAGAGTTACAAAATGGAGTGTGCAAATTGTTGGTAAAGTGTGTCTTTAAGTTAGTCTTCTAATAGTTTTTGATATAAACATCTATTTTTATTTTATTTTAACTCATGAAAATCAAGTAGGTGGGTAGGGCATTCTGGGTACTTGGTCTGGGAATTGAAACTCATCGTCCCCCTCTCCTCCCGATTAGTGCTATGAACTAAACAAATTAGTTAAATAGCTATTGTTAATTGCCTGAAAAGAGAGATATATTTTGAAACAAAGATACATTAAGTATCTTCATTTTCCTTTTAGATCTCAGATTTCCTATACGCACTATTTGACGTCCATCTCTTTAATACCATGTTTTGTGGAAATTTCAACACAGGATGAAAAAATTTACTAGTCTATATGCACTCGAACCTTTATCAAACATGTGGTTGCTAGTTCATTCCTAATAGCGCAATCTGGCTTTTTCTTGGAGAAAAATGCCTTTTCTAAACCTCTTATTCTAGAATAAATATTACCATACTACTATCACCTCATATTAATATATTTTAGAGTCTACAAACCTCTTTCACAAATATTGTTCCATTTTGCTTTTCACAACCAGTTGTGGTGACTGGAAAGAGAGTATTATTTCCACTTAATAGATGAAACAAGGTTACAGGATCATGAAGTAGTAGAACTTAGACTAGCAGGGCATTGAACTTCCCACAGCCCGCTACTGCCTCTTGCATTTGTATAAGGACAGCATATTCCTTTTGCAGAAATTTTATTCCAGGGGCACCTGGGTGGCTCAGTGGGTTAAAGTCTCTGCCTTCTGCTCAGGTCATGATCTATAGGGCTCTCTGCTCAGCAGAGAGCCTACTTCCCCTCCCCACCCGCCCCCGCCTGCCTCTCTGCCTCCTTGTGATCTCTGTCAAATAAATAAATATTAAAAAGAAAAGAAAAGAAAAGAAATTTTATTCCATAGTGGGCTAACATTCACTTCCTAAGTTCCCTTTAGAACAAGGTAAAATAAAATTTAAAAAGGAGGAGGGAACCCTGCAAAAAAGGAAACTATCTTTTTTCTTTTTGATAATTTTACTACCTTTCTGAAAGAAGTCATTCTTTCAGAATGACTGTACCTAAACACATATTCTGTGGCATTGTAAAAAATATGTGTGAACAATTCTAAGACAAGGACAATATAAAACTTTAACCTCAGGGAGCCTGGGTGGCTGTCAGTTAAGCATTTGACTCTTGATTTCGGCTGGTCATGATCTCAGGGTCATGAGTTCAAGCCCCAACTCGGGCTCCATGTTTAGCATAGAATCTGTTTGTCTCTCTCCCTCTGTTCCTCCCCCTACTTGCACTCTCTCTTTCTCATAAATAAACAAATAAACAAACAAATAAATACATAAATAAATATTTTAAAAACCCTATAACCTCAGTTCTGTAAGCAGATCATATTAAATGCTAGTCACACAATATATGTTTAATTGTACTTCTTATTCATATTCACCTTATTTCTTATTTGTATTTATCTTATGTAGATTTCATTACATTTCTTCCTTACAACTAGCCATAAAGTCACAGGACTAATCTATTTCAGATTTACTTACTTTCTTATTATAAAGGGAACTACTGGTCAGCAGCTGGCCAACCTACAAATAAGGTGTTTTTATAAAGAAACGAGTCTTGCAATTTTGAAAAAAATGATTATTTTTTAAAAATTGTTTCCTTTTTTTTTTTTTTTAAACATTTTATTTATTTATTTGAGAGAGAGAGAGACAGTGAGAGAGAGCATGAGCGAGGAGAAGGTCAGAGGGAGAAGCAGACTCCCGGTGGAGCTGGGAGACTGATGCGGGACTCGATCCCGGGACTCCAGGATCATGACCTGAGCTGAAGGCAGTCGCTTAACCAACTGAGCCACCCAGGCGCCCCAATTGTTTCCTTTTTTGATACATACTGTCATTAATAGCCAATTTCAATTTTCTTCTTAACATTAGGATGGTATAAATAAATAAAATCTTTAAAAAAAATTAGGGTGGTAATTTCTTGTATTTCATTAAGGTGTAGAGAAAGATCTGAGCATTCTCCCTACCTTTTCTGATCTTTGTTTTCAAGAGGGCCATCTCCATGCTGTTGAACAAATACTGGGCTGAGTGTCTGGAGAACTGGACTCTTACATTGGCAGTATACTGAGTGTGAACTAGGGCAATTTATTTTTCCTGGGCTTTAATGTCCTCATTTCTAAAATGAGGGGGAGTGTTAGTTCTAGACTATCATTCCAAGGGTCCATTTTAGCTCCAGCAATAGCACTGTAAAGCCTATTAACCAACATTTGTTGAGACGGGGCAATTAGGGTCCAGACGACGTTGTGGGAATATTTATGGATACCTAAATAATGTCTTATCTTCTGGGACGAAAAAGTTTCAACAGTGATTAAGTACTAACAAGCCCTAAGCCCCAAATCAGGAAGCATCCTGTGACATGATTCAGGCCACTAGGACTTGAGACATGTAGGACACATCAGGCCACTTGAGGTCTTATTAGGTAACGATTTCCGTGCACCAATGCCTAGTAATCCTAGGAGTGAAAGCAGAGTACCTAAATATTACACTGTATACTGCTTAAAAACATGACAAAAGAAAAACGACGTTAAACAAGCATTTACGGCGAAAATAGAAACAAAAAAAGCGTAAATTTCTCCTGTTACTGCAACTCAATCCCTCTATTTTCCTACATAAACCTAGGCCTCGGGTGTTCGTGCTGGCCCAGGGGAAAGTTTTTCTAGCAGTCTCCGAGACCTCGCTGGTGGAATAGAGAACAGCTTTAGGGTATTTATATCATTCAAATCCACTCCTAAAGAAATTCTCCACGGGTGAGCCAGCGGGAATCTGAACATAGATGGCCCCTCGCGCGGCCGTCTGCTTGGTTCGGGCCTGCAAAGCAGCTGACGGTAGTCGCCGTGGCTAGGCAACGGTCGGAGCATTCCCCTCGGCATCAGCCCCGCCTCTGGAAGTGCTTCCACCTCCCGGCGCCTGGAATCTCCTCCCCTCATTGGCTAGCGACCTGCCAGAGGTGGGCGGGGGAAATGCGTCAAACAATGAACTCATTTCCGGCCAGGGAGCGCGCGGGTTGATTCGTCCTTCCTCAGCCGAGGGTGCTCGCAGCTCGGAAATGGCGGGTAAGTTCCCGGGAAAAGTTTACCAAGGGGAGGGGGCGGGTAGGTTTGGGAAAGAACGCCGAGACCGTGGTGACAGTGCCCGCCTGGAACTTTCCGGCTCCAGCCTGGGTTCCAGAAGGCTTGCTTCAGCCTGAAAGGACGGAACTCTCAGCACAGCTCCCTGTTGGCCGAGGTTCGTGCCCCCGCCCCCAACTACTCTGGGTTCTGTGCTTTCTGCGGAGAGCTCGGCCCCTGCGGAGGGCCGAAGAAGCCCGGGGAAAGAGTCGCGGTTTGGCTTGTAAGGTGCCGGATGCCTTGAGGCCTGTTGATCTTCTCGTTTCTCTTTTTGCACTGCTGCCTCAGCCGCAGTAGTTTGGCTCTGTTCCCGCCAGCTGATTTTAATGTTCGGGTTGTCCTCCTCTTCCAGGTCTCCCTCCACCTTCCACTACAGCCAACTTCTGAGCTAGCGCATTGCTTGCTGCCTTGCCCTGCACTAGGGCTCTCCCTTGAACCTTGACTTCGCAATCGGCTTTTTAATCTCTCGCGCTTTAATATTCCTAGGATGGATTTAGGTTTTCTTTGAGAGAGATCGTTCTCGCATTCTTCCTTCATCTAAACTTCTCATAGTACTTTATACTATAATTTTCATGTTCATTCTATTTTTTTTGTCTCTTCAGTTTTCAGCATTTAGTAGTGAATAATTGCTGTTTTGTATGTGTATTAAGATTATTTTGGTGTGAGTATATACTTTTTCCCAGTTACATACCTTTTGGAGTGAAGGATCGTTTCTACTTTTATCTTTCCGCAGTGCCTTCATAGTAGTCTTTTTTTTTTTTTAATATTTTATTTATTTATTTGACAAGACAGATCACAAGTAGGCAGAGAGAGAGAGAGATCGAGGGAAGCAGGCTCCCCGCTGAGCAGAGAGCCTGATGTGATGCAGGGTTCGATCCCCGGACCCTGGGATCATGACTTGAGCTGAAGGCTTCACCCACTGAGCCACCCAGGCGCCCTTCATAGTAGTCTTACTACACTTCTATGGATGGGCTGCAAAGACAGGGTATCACGTGAGCTCTACAGATAAAGAAAAATTCTTCTACCAGATAGTGACTCTGGGATCTTAGGGGTACACTAGTGCTATAAAAGAGGGAGAATATACGTATTGTGTACGGTGTACATATAGTAAGAATTACACCTAAATTTGAATCTCTGCCTCACCACTCAAAAGTTGGGTGCACTTAAGCAATTAAACCTCTTTCTAAGCCTGAGCGTTTTAGTATGAAATGGGGCCAGCGTAGTATTTACTTGTTTCATGGGGTGTGGGGATTAAGCCAGTGTGTGATTTCACAAGTAACATTTTGTTGCTTATGTCATATATAATTCCTTAAATGGGTTCTTTTATCTCAATTTTATAAATTAGGGTCAGAGGAGTCAAGTAATCTGCTCTAGTTCTAGTTCACAGATCTAATAGGTAAGTGGTGAAGCCTGGATTTCATTTCAGGAATTCTGACAACAGACTTAATCTATACTACCTCAAATGTTCCCTATTTTCTGTGTATGTGTATTTTTTAACCATTTGTTTAAAAGTTTATGGCATATCATTGTACCTTTCTTTTGTTTCTTCTGCTCATGACTTCTTTTTCCTGAATTTTTATGATTTTTATGTTCATTTTGTCAGATTTATTGTCATCTTTGCTTAAAAATTTACCTGGATTGCTCCATTTTAGTTATTTATTACATATATCGATGGGTAGCCACATTGTAGTAAAATCATTTGGTTGCCGATAGCCCATAGTTTATGACTTTGTACAAATATGGTTAAAAAACCCTTTTTTTTAATGCAGTGAAAATTTTCTTTCCTAACCCTGTCCCCACTCCTTCTCTCTTATCCTAGAGATAACCACAGTTACCAGTTTCTTGTGTGTCCCTCCTGAGATAATCTCTGCATTATCAGTTGATAGTTTTTTAATGGTTGATCTGAAGTACTCTGGGTAGAAATTTTCCAGTATTAGAGATAAAATGCTATTGTAATTATCAAAGGGTGTTCTCACCTTGTGTCTTGGTGGAGCAGTGGCACCCTTTTTATATTTTAAAAAACTTAGATATAAAGCCTAGCAGGTAATATTTATTACTATTAAATAGAGACATGTCAGTGGTCATGTTAATTTTAAGATTTACTTATTTATGTAAAGCAAGCCTAGTTCATAAGCCTTTGGCAAAAATGATGTTTTTCCTGTTTTATAATGAGGCAGTTATACTCAGTATATTTATTTAGGATTATATGGAGAATGACCTGTGCTTTGATAGTCTGTTGCTTTTATGATCTATTAGCATGTTTTAAATCTTCTGTTTATTCCACTTCTAATAAGAACCCTCTTTGTAGGTTTGACTATTTAAACCATTCCCAACTAGACGTTTTAAAAACTTTCCCTTAGGATTTGGTGCTATGGAGAAATTTCTGGTTGAGTACAAGAGTGCAGTGGAGAAGAAACTGGCAGAGTACAAATGTAACACCAACACAGCAATTGAACTAAAATTAGGTATGTATGCTATTTCTCAGTGGTGTTATGTATGTATTGTGTGTTCATATATAATCTTTTTTAAAAGTTTGAAGTAGAATTTTATGTAAGAGCAGTTCATGTAAATGTATAGTTTTTAGCATGCATTGAACACATTCAGATTTTATTCAGTCTTCATTTAAGTCATGGAATGGGTAGATGTTTAAGAGTTAGCAGAGTTTACATGTAGGAAGTACAGCATGTTAAGTGTTCTCAGGCTCTTTAAAGTATTTACCTTTATACTTTTGATTATAAAAATGGTAGGCAGTAGTGTTGGTGGGGATGTGGAAAGACACTCATTGCTATTGGGAATGTAAAATGATGCAACTACTTTGGAAAACAGTTTGGTAGGTTCTTAAAAAGTTTAATGAACTGTATGATCCAAAAGATCTACTCTGAGGGATCTACTCAAGAGAAATGAAAACATATGTCTGTACAAAAATTAGTACATGAATATTTATAGCAGCATTATTCACAGTGGCCCAAAAATAAAACAACCCAGATCTCCATCAACTGGTAATAGAATAAACAAAGTATGATCTATCTGTATGATGGAATACTACTTGACAATTAAAAGGAATGAAGGTCTAATACATGCTATAACACGGGTGAACTAAAAAATATTCTAAGTGAAAGAAATCAGGCAAGAAAACCCCCACATATACAATATGATTCTGTTTGTATGAGATGTTTGGAAAAGGCAAATCCAGAAACAAGATAGAATAGTAGTTGCCTGAGGCTGACTGAGAATAATGACTGCAAATGGGCATGAGATTTCTTTTGGGGACAATGGCAGTATTTTAAAATTAGTTTGTGGCAATGGTCACACAATTCTAAATTTACTAAAAATTACTGAATTATATGCTTAAAACAAGTAATTTTTGTGGTATGTAAATTATTCCTCAAAGTTTTTCTTTTCTTTTCTTTTTTTTAAGATTTTATTTATTTACTTGAGAGAGAAAGCAAGTGAGAGAGCAAGCACGAGCAGTGGGGAGGAGCAGAGGGAGAGGGAGAAGCAGACTCCCCGCTCATCAGGGAGCCCAGTATGGGACTCCTCTCAGGACCCCAGGATCATGACCTGAGCCAAAGGCAGACGTCTACTTAACCAGCTGAGCTCCCAGGCTTAGTAAAGCTATTTAAAAAAATAGTTATATGCACATGAATCTTGGTTCCATCACTTTCTATGGCTGAGTTTCTTTATCTTATAATGAAGTTAATAGTACTTACTTTTATAGTGGCTATAAAGATTATATGTAAGGTTAAGTACAAGTAAAGTGCATAAACAGGTTGACTTCTAGAAATTCTCAATAAATGTTAGCTTCTGCTGATTAAAATAATACAAACATAACAAAAATATAAAGAAGGTGACAAAGAAGGTACCCCTCACTACAGAGAGAATACGTATGTAGACTTTTTGTTTGTGCATGCATAAACTTATTTTTCTAAAGCCAGGATCCTGTTTAAGGCTGTGTACGTACCTGTTTTCCATAGTGGCTACTTCATTTTGTATGTCCATCAACAGTGCACATAGGTTCCAATTTCTCTACATCCTTGCCAACACTTGTTATTGTCTGTCGATTTTTTACTGTATTATTTAAACTGTTTTTTAATTTGACAATGAAAACTGATTTTTAATTCTAAGAAAAGTATATCCTTTATATCTAAGAGAATCAGCCCCCCCCCCTTTTTAAGATTTTATTTCTTTATTTGACAGCACAAGCAGGGGGAGTGGGAGAGGGAGAGGCAGTCTCCTGGCTAAGTAGGGAGCTGGATGCGGTGCTTGATCCTAGGACGCTGGAATCATGACCCGAGCTGAAGGCAGATACTTAACCAATTGAGCCACCCAGGCACCCTGAATCAGCCCTTGTTTTATCATATATTGCAAATAAGAGTTTTTGTTTTATGTTTAACAAAAAGGCCCTCCCTACTTTAAGATTATAAAGCAGTTTATCTATTGTTTCTCTAATATTTTTTGGATTTTTTTTCTTTTTTAAGTCGAAATTTTTTTTTTTTAAGATTTTATTTATTTATTTGACAGGCAGAGATTACAGTAGGCAGAAAGGCAGGGAGAGAGAGACGGGGGAAGCAGGCTCCCTGCCAAGCAGAGTCCGATGTGGGGCTCGATCCCAGGTCCCTGAGATCATGACCTGAGCTGAAGGCAGAGGCTCAACCCACTGAGCCACCCAGGCGCCCCTAAGTTGAAATTTTTGTGTCTAACTTGGTGTAACACATGAGGTGGGAATCCAGCTTTGCTTTCTCAGATGAGTTAGCCAATTATCCACCTGCCAGTTTAAGTTGTCTTTTCATTCATGATTTAAAATTTCTCTTTAATCATATTAAAGTATCATATATATACTTGAGCTGGCTTTTGGGGCTTTTTTTTTTTTTTTTTTTTGTCCCTGAGCCATTAGTGTACCATTACAATAAATGTTATAATTAAATGTAATTATATGGGGTGACTAGGTCCCCACTTGTTACTCTTTAGGAGTTTTCCTAGTTTTCTCTAATGTTTGTTCTTCTAGATGAACATTTTATCAAGTTTGAAAAAGATTTTTTTGTTAATTTTTTTTTTAACTTGAGATCCTATTAAATCAGGTTTAATTTAGGGGGAATCAAAATCCTTACATTGTTGAGTTTTTCTAATAGCAAGAATATTTTTCTATTTATTCAGGTCTTTTTTATGTCCATCTTTTTTAAGAGTTTTAAACTTTATATATATATGATAAACATTTCTTACTGAGTTTATATCTAGGTATTTCATCTATGTTATTGCTATTATAAATGAAATGTCTTCTATTATGTTTTTCATCTTTATTAATAGTGTGTGAGAAAACTGTGGAAGATAATTTTTAATATATATTTTTTCCCTGCCTCAAAATCCAGGTTACTTTGTAACTCAAGTTCTACATATACATGACAGAACCAAAACTGACTGGGTTACGTCGTCTTTCTAATCCTTTATAGTTGTAGTAATAACTTGCTTCCTCAAGCCAACCTTCCTTCTTCCCTCCTTTCTATTTCCAGTCCTCCTATCCCAACTCACTCCCTTCACCTTCTCTGGACAAATGTTTATGAAACTTACTATGTGATAGGCACTGTGCTTGGAACATGGGGTAACTTGAACTCTTGACTGCATATCCATAATTCCACTAAGGTTTATCCCAAGATTCTTCCTCTAACAGAGGGCTGTTTTCACTTTGTGTGTGAGGGATTGACAGACACACTTTTTTCACAGAAATTCTGTGCTTTGAGGTAGGTTACTGTAGAAAGAGTGAATCTTTTTTTCTATATCTCACTTTAACCATTTTTAAGTGTACAGTTTGGTACATTAATTGCATTCACAATTTCCAAAATTTTGTATTTCCAAAATTTTTTCATCACCTCAAACAGAAACTTTGTACCTGTTAAGCAATAAATCCCCATTCACTTTTCCCGTCCAGTCCTTGGTAATCTCTGATTTACTTTTCTGTCTCTATGGATTTACTTGTTCTAGATATTTTAAGCGGCATCACAACAGTATTTGTCCTTTTGTGTGTGGCATATTTCACTTAGCATAATGCTTTCAGCTTATTTCACTTAGCAAATATTTCATGTTGTAGAGCTATCAGGATTTCATTCCTGTCTGTGGCTGAATAATATTTCATTGTGTATTTATACCACATTTTGTTTATTCATCTGTTGATGGATATTCGGTTCTTTTCTACCTTTGACAATTGTGAATAATGCTACTGTGGACAAGTGTATGGGTATCTGTTTGAATCCCTGTTTTCAATTCTTTTAGTATATAGCTAAGAATAGAATTACTGAGTGTATATTAATTCTATGTTTAACATTTTGAGAAACTGCCAGATTGTTTTACATAGTAGCTGTACCATTTTACAGTCTCACCAGCCATGTCAACGTTCCAGTTTCACCACATCATTGTCGTGCTTGTTATTTTCTTTTTTTTAATTATTATTATAGACTTCCTAGTAGATGTAAAATGATATCTTGCTGCAATTTTGATTTGCATTGGCCTAAAGAACAATGTTGAGCATCTTTTCATGTGCTTATTGACCATTTGTATATCTTCTTTGTAGAAGTATCTATTCAAATCCTTTGCCTATTTTTTTCATTGGGTTGTCTTTTTGGGTTTTTTTGTTTGGGGTTTTTTGTTTTTTAAAGATTATTTATTTATTTATATGATACAGAGAGAGTGAGAAAGCACAGCAGGGGGAGTGGCAGAGGGAGAGGGAGAAGCAGGCTCCCGCTGAGCAAGGAACCCGATGCGGGGCTCCATCCCAGGACTCTGAGATCATGACCCAAGCCAAAGGCAGAGGCTTAACCAACTGAGCCACCCAGGCACCCGTTTTTGTGGATTTTTAAATATATTTTTAACACCTGATAATTTTACTGGATTCTCTTACTTTTTGGGGAGTGGCTTTGGGTGATTTTTTTTTTTTTCAGGCCTACAACCATATCATCTGATCATTTTCACAAATTCACTTAGTTTTTGATACATGTGCCTCTTTGTTCTCTCTCTCTCTCTTTTTTTTTTTTTTTTTAAAGTAGGCTCCACACCCAGTGTGGAGCCCAACATGGGCTTGAACTCACAACCCTGAGAACAAGACCTGACCTGAGATCAGGAGTTGGACGCTCAACCAACTCAGCCACCCAGGTGCCCCTGTTCTCTTTTCATACTGCATCGGGTAATACTTTCAGAACAGTGTTGGGGCACCTGGGTGGCTCAGTGGGTTAAAGACTCTGCCTTCAGCTCAAGTCATAATCCCAGGGTCCTGGGATCGAGCCCCGCATCGGGCTCTCTGCTCAGCAGGGAGCCTGCTTCCTCCTCTCTTTCTGCCTGCTTCTCTGCCTACTTGTGATAAAAATCTTTAAAAAAAAAAAAAAAAAAGAGCAGTGTTAAATGAGGACAGGGGTGCCTGGGTGGTTCAGTGGGGTAAGCCTCTGGGTTAAGCCTCTGCCTTCGACTAAGGTCATGATCT